AATTGGCTCTGTAAACTTTTACCCAAATCACACACACACATAAAAGTTTAAAGAGAAAAAAAGAGTCCATGGTGGCTGGGACTGTCTGGGTCTGAGGCTTATTTGCTGTGTGATCTTAGACAAGTCTGTTGACCCACCTGCCTCAGTTTTCCCATCTATAACATGGGACTGATAGTGGCATCTACCTCAGAGTTCCAAGGATTAAGAGATTTACTATATAAAGCCCTTGCAGCCAGGCTCGGAGTGTTCCTGCGGAGGCAGAAATAACACCTGAGGCCCAGCTTTCCCATGCAGTTAGGGGACATGACAGTACCTGAGGCTCCCTCTGCCTCTGGCATCCCAGCCTTAGCCCTCACTCGTCAGGAGGGTGGCACGTGAGTGTCACTGTAGGGCCAGGGAAACAGCACAGCAGGGGCCTGGGACAGCCAAGTGGAGCCTTTTTCAGCTGCTCCTTTGCCAGGTTCTCTGCAGGGGTGGAAGGTTGGCCAGGAAACCAGATGGGAAAGAGGAAGGGCCAGGGCTATGGGCGGAGCTCTGTGTGGCCCCACAGGAAAGGCGTGAATTCTAGATGGCCACCAGGCTGAGAGCAGGCTCTGGGAAGAGCCTCTGTTGGCTCCTTGTTGGATGATCTGCCATCCCCCAGGGCTGAGGCCTTGCCACCATCTGTCACCCCAGCTGGGCCCAGTCAGGGGGCTGAGTGCCTCACCAGCTCAGTGACTCAGCTGAGAGTCACTGCTTAGCTGACAGTTTCAAGGCCAAGTTCTTATTGCAGTACCCGGACCTTGTCTTCCCTCCCTCATCACTCACCGGACCTCTGACGGAGGTCTTCCCAGACCACCTGCAACTTCACCCAGAACAGGTTTTTGCCTTCTTACTCTTGCCACCCCTTCCTTCTGTGGAGGTGAGCCCGATAGGGACTGTCAGGGCACCCAGGGAAACCATTTGACTCAGCCAGCATGTTCCTGACAAGCCTCGATTTAGACTTTTGTGGTTCATCAGATGACATTGTGTACTGCTAGCTCATTTCACTCCCAATATATCAGGGCCCTCAAAAGATAATGGTTACAACTGTGTTAATGTTTGGAATAAGGTGCTCTGGTGGCACACTGGGTAAGGTGTGCTACCAAGAAGGTTGGCAGTTCAAACCACCAGCTCCTTCATGGGAGGAAGATGAGGCAATCAATCTACTTGGGTCGAGATTTACAGCCTTGGAAACCCTGTGGGGGTTGGAATTGATGAGGACAGTGGGTTTGGTTTTTTTGGTTTACAGTATTTGGAAGGCCCTGTCTAGCCCCAAATACACACACACACATACACACACACACACCTGCCCACCCACCCAAACCTCCCTTCAGTCTCTGCTGCTGAGAACTAATCTATGGTCTACTTTCTGGCTATGTGCCTGGCCTTGCCCAATCATACTTCCCTCGAGTGTCATGAGTCTCCACTCGTGCTAACCACTGCCAACTTCCACCCAAAGTCTTGCAGACACCACCGTCCCCCGTGCACACAAAGAAGGGAGAGGTAATGTGGGTGGGGAAAAACTGAACAGCCTATAAGAGGCAGAGGCTGACTTCACCTTCACCCTCTAGTTCAGAGACCAGCCATTTGGCTCAGAAAGTAAATCTATGCCACAGCTTACATGAATGAATGAATATATGACAAATGAATGAATGAATGAATGACAAGTCACTACGAAGAGATCTTCAGGGTTGATTCCAAATACCCGAGACCATGAATCTTAAATTGCAAACCCCAAGACGACAGCACTGGCCTTGCGACTCGGTCTGGCCTGCAGTGAGCGGCATGAGCACCACCTGGACGCCTGTGAGAAACGCAGTCTCTCGGGCCTCCCCCTGGAGCTGCTGCATCAGTCAGCAGCGTAACTCCACCTTCAGGGATTGGGCTCCATCACCGTCTCTGGTCCAGTGCAGCTACTCTCAACCCCGGCTGCCTTACAAAATAAAAAAACCCAAGACTCACTACCATGGAGTCACCTCCAACTCACAGCAACCTCCATTGGGTTTTACGGAAATAGATTGCCCAGTCTTCCTTCCGCAGAATGGCTGGTGGGTTTGAACTGCCAACCTCCTGGTTAGCAGTCAAATGCCTTAGGCACTGTGTCACCAGAGCTCTTGCTGCGCCTTACAGGCACTTTTAAATCAGACCTTTTAAGCCTTTATTAGGCCTTTTAAAGCCACCCATCTCTTGTGGTCCTGATTCAATTGGTCTGCGGTGGGGTCCTAGCGTTATTTTTCAAAGCTCCTCTGCTGACTCCCATATGTGGCCAGGGTTGAGACCCAGCAGGGGTGACTGGAATCTGATGGGCTCTGTCACTGCCCTTGGGATCTTGGGCCACTTTCTAGCCTCTGAGGCCTACTGTCCTCCACTGTGAAATGGGAATGAAAGTGAGTGCCTCCTGGGGCTGTAGGGACCAGAACAGAAGGTGTCTCTAGTCTGAGCAGGGTTCCCAAGAGCAGTAGGAGGGGAAATGAGGAAGAGCTCTGACCACACACAGGGCGTTGCCTTTACTCATCATTCCAGCCCCTCCCCCATCCCAGGTGCTGGTGAGGTTCTGGGCCAAGCAGTTCCCGGCCCTGGGCTCTTGGTCCAGGCAGCCATGACATTAGAAGTGAGGCTGCTGACCCAGCCCTGCCACCAGCCTGTCGTCAACCTTAGGTTCATCAAACCGGAGCATTCCCTCCCGCTGCTGCCTAGTCCTGAGTGGAAGAGGCACGTGCAGTTCAGGATAAACAGGGGCTCATCTCTGCCCAGTTTCCCTGCAGTGATTTCTAAGTCTGACATTCTCTGTTTAAAGAATGTGAGTCACATGACTGGGGAACTGCAGGAAAGCTATTTTCACCAGCAGCCTCTCAGTGTAGGGAAACCGTATGGCAGCTGCTGTAGAGGATTGTTTAGTGGAAATTCTGCAAAGGATGCCTCATGCAAATCACTGTTTTGAGGACCAAGTTGTAGGAATCTTTTCCCAAGAAAATCTTATCTGAGCCCAACTGGACCACCTTGTGGAAGGTGGAGCAGCTTGGTGGACCTCAAGGGGAGGAGGGGGGTGTATCTCTGCCAGCTAAGGACTCTGCCATCCCACCCCCCAGATGCCAGTTGTAACTAGTGCCAATCTTTGCAGTAAGGGACTGCCAGATGAGAAATGATCCAGGAACCAGGCTTCAGGACCCTAGCTCAACGTTTCCAAACTCACCCAATCACAGGACTTGGCTGGGACTGTCACTCCTGTTCATGTGGATTCCCAGACCCACTGGACTCTGAAACTGGTATTTTTGGTACATGTCCCCAGCTAACAGCTACCAAGAAATTAATTGTGTCAGGCAGGCACTGTGTTAAGTGCCTTTAACCAACTCACTGACTCCTCACAAGAGCCTAGGGATGAAGGAATTTGCCCAGGGCCGTGGTTATCAAAGGGTGGAACCAGAATTCCACTGATTATCAGAACACCACAGCCCCCAAATGGGGAGGTAGTTTAGCTTCTCAAGCAGAAACAACAATGAGACTAAGTCTAGAACAAGGGCTTATGGACCTGGGTGGCAATGGGGACGCCCCAGGCGATCGTGCCAATGGTAGTTCAAAGGTGAGAGGTTTCTGAAACCTGAGCCAGTGCCCAGATCCTGCTCGCCCAACCCAGGAGCAGCAGCACCCAATGGGGAAGTCCAAGCACCCAGAATTACCTTGGGGCCCTCAGCTCAAGGTGGCTGCCCTACCTGCCCATGGCTATAGAGAGTTGCCCTGCTCAAACAGCCCCAGCTCAGGTCAGGCCAGGAGCCCTGTGTGCCAAGGGTAGAAACAGGCAGGAGTTCCCAGGAGAGCCACCTGCCACCCCTCCTGACAGCCAGACTTTTCCTCATAATTCAGGGGTCCACCTAAGCAGGGAGCAGAGGACACAGGGTATCTGCCTCAACCAGCACCCTATCAAGTGCTTCACACCCAAGTGCCACCTCTAAGCTCTCCAGAACCTCCTGCTGGTGGGTCCAACTGAGCTTCCTGTTGTTGATGCAGTACTGCTGGCCCACATCACTTCTTCTCCTGGAGAAAGAAGACCCTGGTTCACCAACCCCTAAGCCCTCTGGAAATCAAGCCTACCTTAAGATCATGCTGCCAACGGCTTCTCAACTGATCAGCCAGGGCCCGTAATTGGCATAGCCCTGATTGGGACAGAGCCTCAAAATCTGGCAGAAATGAGGGGTCTTCATAATGGGGACAAGTCATCTTCTAGGAGCTCAAGGGGAAAGGTCAGGGCCCCAGTCCTCAGAAGGAGTGGGCAAGCAAACAGGGATCAATATAACTCCAACACGGAGTCCGAATGGACCCTTAAGTTTCCCCCCTTACTTTGCATGTGAAAGCTTGAACTCACAGATTTTCAGGGTGTTGAGCTGATAAGTTGGCCTGGTCTGCCTTTGCTTCAAAACCCACAAAAACCTCCAATGAGAGCAAAAGCTTCCAAGGCAAGCCTTCCCCCACCTTCTTCCTCACCTGGTTCAGAGAGGTCTCACCTGCCCCAGCAGAAGCAAGACCTAGGTTCTTGAGGGGCACAGAGTTCCACCACCAGTGTGGGGCCCAGTGAGAAGTACTCACATATAGAGGTGCAGCTGAGTGGCTCCACACTCAGATCCATTCAGAAAACTCTCACCCAGCCCAGGAATCACATCTTGCATGGTGGTAGGCTTGGGCATTTAAAGGTCTGCCTTAGAGCCAGGCTGGCAGAGCTGGGGTAACAGTGGGAAAGGTCACAGGGTCTGAGACAGGAGGCAGGTGCTGACTGAGTTCACCTCTGTCCCACCTGGCTTTAATTTCTCAGTCTGGGAGAATACAAATCCGTCTATACACACACACACACCACTGTTCAGGCTCAAGCCACAGCCCCCCTTCTTAACAGAAGATAATGTTGCATATTTTATTTTGGACTGAGAAAATCCAGCGCAGATCTCCAAATAGATGCCCAACAGAAAACGTAAACACACACACACACGCCTTCTTTCCTACCAGGTTCTGTGTCCAGAGCTCAGTATTTCTCTCCTCTGCCCAAGTTCCCTGCTGTCTGGGGCTGGGGAAGGAGGGCCCAGCCCGGCAGGTGCGCACTCTGCCCCTGGAGGCAGGAGCAGGCGCCATCAGTATTTCCGCTGCCGAGGGAAGAGACTGCTCCCTGAGGATCGGAGTGGGGGGCTGGAGGGGCTGGGGTCCTCCGAGTCCAGGCTGAAGAGGTCCCTGCCGGTGCGAAGGATCTGCTCCTCCAGCTTCTTGTGCCGCTTCATGTCTGAGAGGACCTTGTCCAGGCGGGCCTCGCGTTTCTGGCTCCTGGCTGAGCTTCCTGGAGAAGGGGCAGCAGGTGAGACACGTGGAAGGGACTAGGGCAGCGTGCACCAGACCTGCTTGGATCTTACTGACCATTTCAGCAGCTTGTTAAATACAGATTTCCCTGTCTCTGTCACTGAGGTCTGGGGTCTGGAGTTGGCCTCAGACGGGGTGGGCAGTGAAGGCCTCAGGGGTGTCCCTTCCGGGTGACACCGGTGCACTTGCATTATGACCAGCACCAGTAATGAGCAGATCAGGGAAGAGCATCCCTGCAGAGGGAAGAGCATGTGCTAAGGGCCCAAGGCAGGAGCAGAGGAGTGCAGAGAGCAGGGGGAGAGGTGGGAGAGAGGCCCAGGAGATGATGCAGGACCCTGGTAAGGAGTTTGCATTTCTTCCTCTTAGCGGAATGGAAGGCTTTAGAGGGTGTGAAGCAGAGAAGTGACATGGTTTATCTTTTTAACATATCATTCTGGCTGCTGAGACAAGAGGCAGGGAGACCAGGTGGGAGCTATGCCACCAACCTGCAAAGAGATGATGGTGGCTTGGATGGCTTGGTGGGGTAGGGAAGGTGGAGAGAAGTGGATGGACTTGGAAATGCTGTGGGGCAGAATTAATAGCACTTCCTTGCTGCATGCTTGAATGTTGGGATAACAAGAAGAGAAGAATCACGAATGGCCCAAGAATTTTGGCTTGAATTAGGTGGACATTAAGGAGCTCTGGTGGTGCAATGGTTAAGGCATTTGGCTGCTACCCAAAATGTCTGTGGTTTGAACCCACCAGTTGCTCCACAGGAGAAAGATGAGATAGTCTGCCTCTATAAAAATTTACAGCCTTAGAAACCCTATAGGGGTCGCTATGAGTTGGAATCGACTTGGTAGCAGTGAATTTGGTTTTGGTTTGAGGTGGATATTGACTCTGGGAGAAATTCTGGGGGAGGTTTTGAGGTACCAGATTGTTCAGGAATCTGCAGTTCAAGGGAGAGGTGATGGCTGGAGATTTAAATGTCTGAAACCATAGGCCTGGATGAGATGGCCTGGAATAGAATACAGATAAGACTCAGCCCTGGGACAGCCATCTTATAAAGAAAAAACTTTTCTGGAGGGTTTATTCAGTACATACTCCTAGCACTTATATGCCAGGCACTTTTCTGAGACTTTTAAAGTAACTTGTCTAAGGTCCCACAGCTAGGAAGTGAGAGAGCTAGGAATCCTGCCGGTGACCAGGTCCAGAAGTGAAGCAGAGAAAGAGAAAACAGCGAAGGTGACTGAGATGTAGCAGTCAGTGCAGAAAGAGAGAACCAGAATGATGCCCCAGAAGACACGTAGCAGTCAGCAAGGAAGCAGAGAACCAGAACGATGGCCTGGAAGCCAAAAGGACAAAAACAGTATTTCAAGAATGCTGAGTGATACGACAGACTGAGTACAACGAGGGCAGAAGGAAAAAACCACTGGGTTTGGCAAATGTGTGGGTTACTGGTGTCCCTGCAATGACCAGTTCTAATGGAATGGGATCCAAAGCCAGTCTGCTGTCTGGTGTACATCTTAAAGAAGAGCAGAACAGTAACTATGAACAACTCGAGGAATTTGACTGTGAAGGGGAGTTGGAGCATGTTCTTATAAAACTGTGAACAATCCAAGAGAATGAAATAGACCACTGATGTAGGAGGAAAAGGATAGATGCAGAACTCAGGTTGAGGGGTAGGCCTCCACTTGGGGCAGGGTCCTTCATCCATACAACAGGGCAAGTAGATGGATATGGCAGGTATAATAAGATGGCTGGAAGATCTGGTAGCAGAATGCAGTGAAGATATCAAAGTTCTCTGTCAGAATACATAGTGGGGTTCTCTGTCAGTCTGCAGTCAGCATTCCAAAATAAGATCAGTTAGCACACTTTTGTTTTTCTCCAGCAGCACTGGGCTGCTCAGATGCAGGTGGGGACTAGCAGAGAGCTAGATTTAAGCAGGGCTGCAGGCTTATTAAAGAAACTGCAAAGGATACAGGAGATCCTGGAAAGAATGGGAGAACAATGTTCAAAATCATAAAAAAAAAAAAAAAAGACCAAGTTTACTGGTCTGATAGAGCCTGCTGAGACCCCTGAGGCTATGGCCTCTAGTTATCCTTCACATCTGGAACTGAACTCACTCCCATGGCTTCTAGCCAAACAACAGACAGGCATATGGTATAAACATTTACATCTGGTAGATACACTCCTTAGAGCGATCATTGTGGGAGAACAGAAGGGGAGTGTTTGCACAGGGGGATAGCTTTGGAGTGGGTACAGCAGGAATGCATAGGAAAGAAGGACACAAGGAAGAGGTAACTACAGGGAGGAAGTAGGAAGAGAGCTGTTACACTGTGGGGAATTGCAGTCAATGTCATGAAATAAAATGTGTACGAACTGCTGTCTGGAAAATGAATTTGCTCTGTGAACTTTCACCCACATCACAATAAAAATTTTAAGAATAAATAAATAAATAGCAAAAGGAGAGAAAGGCAAGGGAGATAAGAATGGTTATAAGGGAATGATGATGAAGACAGACCTTGGATTCCAAGGTGTGTAAGGCAGGGATGGGATGGGTGATGCGGGTCAACTGGCCAGCATATGTGGAAAACAAACATAAATACAAGCCTACAGCACAAGCTACAAGGATACCATGGGGTGGCCTGTAATGGGACCACCTGAAATCAGGATTTCGGAGGTAGTACAATCTTAGGTGACGAGCAGATTGAGAGCCTGACCATAGTACCAAACTAGCTGCTGTCATAGTGGCCTCACATGTGTCAGAGGAGAACTGTGCTCTGCATAGGAGGCAGTGGCTAAGGATGGAAGGGGGCAAAAAAAAAAAATTGGAAACTGATTAGTGGGTTCACCCACGTGCATCCTGCATTATCAGGGTAATGATGTCAGCACAGGAGAGGAAAAGGAAGAGCAGAAGCTGAAAAGGGCAAGGCTGGAGGGTTGGTGAGATGACAGCTAGACGGAGAGGTAGGAATGACACTATGTTACACAAAATTCAAAAAGAGTTGAGAGTTTTGAAAGAGGAAAAATGCTTTGAGGAACAATGACAGCACCACTTCTACTTCTAGGCCCTGAGATGGGTGGGTTGTGAGAGAAGAGTTAGTTTCTACTTGAGAGAGATGAAAGGAGGCAGTGATTCCATTCAGTTTCAGGGGAACAGTCAGTTTAAGTTTGGGTAAGAAGGTCAATGTTCAGAGAGGATGAAGAGATGAGGGAGTTTGAGATGATGGTCAATTCAAGGCAGCAAGTGGGGTGCGGAACTGGGTCAGCTTAGGAGATGTACACAGTAGCAGTGGGATGTGGATCACATCCCAGTGACGCGTGACCAGGAAAACATGGACTTGTGAGACTATGGAGATAAAAGGAATGGGAAGCATGATGTGATTATGTGAGATGTTCTCCAAAGAAAGACATCAAGGTATCAATCTAAAGCAGAAGGATGGCGCCACTGGACAAATGTTCTCTCCTGTTGCTAGAAGTCATCTGACAACCAAGGCATCGATCCAAGGTCTCTTTCAGGGTGCCACTGTTTGGGTAATTGGGAGCAGAGCCCCTTCACCTCCCCCCACCTTTCTTCTCTTGTCTGTACCTGGAGTGCGTCTCCGGTCAATCAGGGAATCCTTTGGTGTCATTGGCTCATCATCAAAGTCAAACTCCGTTGGCATGTGTGGTCTGAGACAGGTAGACAGTGAATGAAGGGTGAGAGTGTGGTCCCCCCAAATACCCACACACGTTCTTCTCCGCAGCCTGCCTGCTCTCTTCCCTTCCTCCACTTTCCATGCTCCTGGGCCCCACTTTTTATCCTCCCCTATTTCCCCCTGGCATCCAAAGAGTAGCCCCAGGGACAAGGTGTAAGGGCCCGCCCTCACTTTTCCTCTTCCTCCTCTTTGGCCTCCGGCTCCTCATCGGATCTCTCCTCTTCACTCTGGGCCTCAGGTGTGGGCGGCCGGCGGGGCAGGATTTCTGCCTGAAGCTCCAGGGTGCCGTGGGCAGCCAGAAGCTCATAGAGCCGTTGGATCTCCGAGGGCGGGGGCATCCAGGACTGCCCGTCCGCGGGCAGCTCCACTTCCTCATCGCTGCAGGCCACGCACCAGTCCTCAGAGTCGCCCTCCGCAGGCTCTTCCCCCACAGCGCTGGGGGCTTCTTCCTGCGCCTCCTGGGTCCCGGGCCCCTCTCGCTTGGCCCCCTCCCGGTCTCCTTCCCTGTCTTCCTCGGCCTTACTGATCGAAGCAGGGGGACCTCCAGTGTCCTCCACGGCCAGAGCCTGGAGGCCGGAGGTCACTTCCCCTTCTTCAGACAGAGGCGCCGTCATGGTGGCAGCAGGGTCTCCATGACCCCGAGTAAGGGACATAGGCCACTAAGGAAAGGGCCTCGCAAAGACAGGAGACGCTAAACCGGGGACCCCCCCCCCAACACACACACACACACACACACACAAAGGGATAGGATCCCCCAAGAGTAGAGAGGACGTCTCCAATCAGGCCTTCCACAGAGGTCTCTGCTGTCAGACTGCCGGTCCTCAGGAGGGGGCGCCCAGCCCCCTCCCAAGGACCCCGCCCAACGGATCCGCTATTCCCGGGGATCAGCAGCAACCATTTTTCGAGCGGAAGAGGCCAAAGAGAGGGGTAGGTCCACTCTGCTCGCCTTCACACCGCCCCTCGCCACACCTGGACCAGGCGCCCTCTCCTCAGACCTCGCAGTTTGGGGACTCGCCACTTCAGCCGCCGTAAGCACCTGGAATTAACACCCGCCTCCCAGGCTACGAAGGGCTACAGTACGCAGGCGCACAGAGGTGGTGCGGCAGGCTCCGCTTTACTCAAAGCTACTTGGAAGAGGATAGTAAGGGAAGGTCTGCACATGCGCAATATACAGGCGCTCGGATATAAAAGGCTTCCGCCCACAGTAAAGATGGCCGCCGGGACGACGCGTGCGCAAACCACACAGCGGGCTCTGCCGGCAGAGAGGCAGTAGCGCTGCTCGGGTAGCGAACGGACCCAAGGACCAACTGAGGCTTGAGGCGAGTGTCATGCAGTCTCTGTTTATTGGTGTTTCAGACCCATGCAGCATCCAGCATACAAAAAGGGGGAATCAGTTCGATATATATGTTCTAGGAATTCTAGTTTTCCCCCTACACACACTTTTTTTAAAAAAACAAAAAACCCGCCAACTGCAAACCAAGTCGTAGCTCGGTCCCCGCCTTCTCTGCGGGCGGTCGCGTGCAGCAAACCTCCCTTATTCTCTTATAACATAAATTATAGAGCTCCCCTTCCTTCGCTCGCTCCTTGCGGCTGGGAGCTTTGGTCCTATTTTTTGGATTCTTTCCTTACAAAGGCGTGAATGACCTGAGCCCTGATGCCTTTAGGAAGAGACACATAGTCTGGAATTAAAAAGCCCAGGTGGGGCGGGTCAACCAGAATGACCAGGGAAGAGTCAACTGCCGCGCCCTCCCTTCTCCTCCCCGGCTAGTTAGGCAGGCAGGCGTACTCGCCACCTTGTACATGCCCCCATGGAGCAGCCTGGCCAGCAACTCTGCAACCAGCAAGGCGCCCTGGGGGGTGTCTGGGCCCAGGTGGTCTCAGCAGAGAACAGTCGTAGTCCCGGGTAGGGCTAGGGAGCACCTGTCCAGAGAACCTCTCTCCCCCTCCCCCAGCCTGATCTAAGTGCTGGAGTTTTTGCAGAATAAACAGTGGCAAGAAGGTGGAAGGGAAGATGCTGAAGGTAGATGAGGAGGCAGGAAGAGGAAGGAGGTGGGGATGTGGAGAGGGAAGGAACTATGGTAAAGGAGAGAAGGCAGAAAGGAATGGGGACAGTGCCAAGACACCGAAAGTTGAGTTGGGAGGGTGGTGGGCAGGGGTACGGTTGAGGTGCAGGGAGGCTGGGAGAGATGCAAGGAGGCTGAGAGAGTGCAGAGAGTTTGGGAGATGTTCAGGGAGGTTGACAGAAGTGCAGGGAGGTTTCAGAAATGCAGGGATAAGGACACCAAGGGGCTGGAAGGGTTGCAGGCAGAAGTGCAGGGAGACTGGAAACAGTGCAGGGAGAAGGGAGGCCTACGGTTGGCAGTGGAGCCTGGCAGGATGCAGGAGCAGGAAAGGAGTTGTAAACAAGGTCGCTCAGGCTCCCTTGGTCCCTATGGGTGGGGGCCAGGGCCATCGATTGGGCTCCCCCCAGGAGAGGGATGGGCCCAAGGCAGCTCCCAACAGGAAGAAAAGTCTTGGAATGTGGGGCAGAGCCCCTCACTTATACACTGTGGGAGAGGAGAGGGAGGGACAAACAGAGACGGTGGGAGGGGTGGGTAGAGACAAGGAAAGACAAAGGAGAAGTAGGGAAGACAGACAGGAGAGAGCAGGGGCCAGGGGTTAGTAAAGCTTCCCTCACCATCCCTTCCATTCCTCCCAGCATGTCCCAGACCCCCACTCACCGCCTAAGTTGATGACGCAGGAGGCGATGATGATGAGGACCCCCCCCACCAGCGCCACGATGCTTAAGAGCTTGGCTACGCGGCCCAAACGCTGAGCCCCATCCACGTCCCCCTGCTGCAGGCTGTTCCGGGACTGGGGTTAGTGTGAGGGTGGGGACCGTGGCCCAGGTCAGGAGAAGCCCGCCAGGCAGAGATCAGGTGACAGTGTCATCCAGTGGAGGTAGGCCAGCCCCGTGGACAGTGGTAAGGGAGGAAGGAGGATTGGAGAGGCAGGGGGAGGAGGGCACAGGTCAGCAAGGGTGTGGAAAACTTATGCCTTGACGTCCCTCCCAACTGACACGGGGTATAGGGCAGAGGTGGCTCAGAGGGTGAGGTCCTGAGAGAGGCAAGCAGAGGCCTGGTAATTGGGGCAGTGGGGTACATGCAGAGAGGGGAGGGAAGACAGACCACTCCTGGGGCCAGCGCTGGCAGGAAGCTGGGAGCCATAGCAGGCCTGGGCAAGGGTCCCGAAGGGCTCACCATGACGGCATAAGCGAAGGCTACGATGTTGACGGGCCACATGGGGCAGAAGCAGGACAGGATGGCGAGGATGATGTAGTCCCGAGGTTTCTGGGCGCCTTCACCCTCCTCCACCCCAGGCCCCGCCAGCTGGGAGCTAGGGTGGCGGCTCAGGCTACCTCGGGGAGATCCGGGGTGCCCACTGTGAGCCTTGCCCAGTCGGTCCTCCTCAACCAGCTGCTGCAGCACGCGGGGGGGAGCCCCATTGGCTGGGGGGGTTTTGGCTGAGGGGGGTGAGTGAGGCTGGGGGGCCGGGCTCTCTTCCCCATCACCAGCCTGAAGGGGGACCACAGCTCCGTTCTCCTGTTTTTCTTCTATAAGCTCCGTCTGGGCCTCGGGGCTGGGGTCCTCCTGGGTGAGGGGCTCTGGCTGGAGAGCTGGCTTGGGAGTGGGCTGGGGACCTGGCTGGGAGTCTGGCTGAGGGTCTGATTGGGGGTCCTGTTGGGGAGCAGGCTCTGGGGCTGCCTTAGGTGGGGCTACAGGCTCCGGCTCTGCGGACCCCTGGCCTGCGGTGGCCTCTTTGCTCTCCTCTGATTTGGATGCTGGTTCTTGGCATGCTTCTTCGGGGCTGGAGCTGGCCTTTGATTTCCCTCCCGGGCCTGAGCTGAGGTCTGTGGCCTGAGCTGTTTCTGGGGCTCCGGCTGGGGTCTCTGTGGTTTCTGGAGCCAGCCCAGCCTTGGGCCCTGAGTCTACAGGGGCCCCACTGGTGTCTGGGTCTGGCTGCTTGGCCTCTGGCTCATCTGGGGCCTCAGGTGGGACCTGAGGAGGGCCAGTTCCAGCTTCTGGATGGCCAGGCCCTTCTCCCTGGGTCTGCAGACCCTCCGCGACCCCCTTCATCTCAGAGCCCTCAGAGCTGCTGGCTGCCATCTTGAAATGGGAGAGGGGAGAGGGCCCCTGTAGGGAGTGTGGAGAAATAGAGCCAGCAACGAATCCTGCAAGAAGAGGAGACAGGCTTGGTGTGAGGAGGTAAGAGATGGCCAGGTCTCAGTACTGCCAGCCAGCCCGAGATGGCCATGCTCCTGTCTCGGGCAGCCTTAGGCTGTCTCTGGGGAGAAGAAGAAAAGTTATGGTTTCCTTTGCTTTCCAGTAGGATATCCCTGGGAGGGAGACGCTCCCCTCAGTCTATTCTGCTGGGAGAGCCCTGGGAGGATTAACCCTTTTGTGGACAGGACTCTCCTCACAGTCCCTTCCTGGGTTCTCCCGAGCAAGATCCAGACTCAGATCCCGGTGGATACCTCAGCATCCCCAAATCAACGAGCTATGCAGACACCGGGAAACTCCGACAGGCTGACTGAGTCGAGAACCGACAACGCTCATAGTCCATCCACTCCCTCCGCATGATCCCCTCCTCTCTGGGCGCCCAGGCGGTGCGGTTTTCTTGCTGCGTGTTGGAAGCGCAGACACCTCCGCCCCTCCCTGGGGACCCGAGGCATGTCCTCCAAGCCCCTTCCCAGTCCTTCCAGGGATTCCCTCGCTCCCGGGGGGCCGGGACCTCTGCCCCGCTGGGCGCAGCGCGCCCAGCACCAGCAGCCCGCCCGCCAGGCATCCGCATTCCGGTGCAGCCCGCCCGATGTCCGCGGTCTGTCCGTCCACTCTTACCCGCAGCCTCAGTCAGTCCCCGTCTCACCTCGACGCCGGCCTCCGGGCTACTCCCGCCGCCGCCGCTGTTGCAGCAGCCGCAGCCCGGGAGGGAGCGAGTCAGCGAGCGAGGGAGGGAGGGAGGCGGCGGGTCTTTCCTCCTCTCCCCTCCCGTCTGCTCGTCCCCTCCTCTCCGGTCCCCTCCCCTGCGCTCCGCCGCCTCGCACCGCCCCCGCCCCTCCCTGACGGCCCTGGGGAGCCACGCGTGCCTGGCCCCGCGTTACCAGGGCAACCGGCCGGGGGACTAGTCGTGCCCCCTCCTTGCCCCTTCCCACGCGCGCCTCCGGGGACGCCCCTTTCCCAAGCCCCCAGCCCCTCCCGCTAACGGTCACCAAGGGTCCTGGCAGAGACAGGGGGCCTGGGGGAAGACCGAGAGGGCTCTGCCGGGAGACGGAACCAGTGAGGCAAGCAGGCCCCGGTGGAGGCACCCCTATGAGCAGAAAGAGGGAAATGGAGATGGGGCAAAACTTGGGGAGGCTGCAGAGCAGCAGGGTGGGGTTTCAAGGGAGGCTGCAGAACAGTAAGTCCTTCCATCAAGAAGCAGCAGCAGCAGTAGGCACTAAAAAGCTCAAGTCTGTAAGGGGCAAGGTCTGGGAAGATTCCTAGAAGCAGGGCTGACTGCAGGGCAGCCCAGACCTGCAGGCCAGAGTTACTGGCAGAAGAGCCCGGTAAATGGAAGGTAAACAGACAGTTAGACCACACCAAGAATGAGGAGTGGGGCAAGGTGTTTTTAATTTTCAATTTCACTGCTCCCCATTGGAGGGCTGACTTCCCCCACCTTTCTGCAGCTCCAGCATCCACCATCACCTTTGAGTCTTAAGTGTGTGCAGTTATTTGGCCCAGGGCCTGGTTGGGGGCCGAGCAGCAGGCACGGAGTGTGGGAGAAGAGCAGCATTTTCACCCAGCAGCTGTTTGGGTTTCTAGCCAGGGCCTCCTCAAACCTCCAGTGGCTATTCTGGGCCTGTCCAGATTGGGTATTCTCTGGAGATCCGGGAGTCCTGGAACTTGCTCTCCACTAGCCACTGAAGCCTGAGCCCCACCCAGACTCTCAGGCTGCAGGCACTGGTGCCTTCTCCGCGGAGGGTGGAGCCAGGGCCCAGAGCCAGGCTGGAACTTAGCTCAGCCCCAGAAGAAACCCCTTGGGGTGAAGACAAGGGGGCTTGGGGAGAGCAATTCATTCAACGGAGAGCCAGAGACCAGTTTTTATTTAAAATTTATTGTAATGGGGTCCGCGCAAAGGGAGGAGGAAAGAGGGTGGGGCACATGCAGGGGACACAGGGACACGATGACTTGGCCAGGGCCACAGCTTCAGAAGTGGGGAGGAGGGATGAAAAAACAAAAGGCCAGGGCTGGAGCTGGGGTGGAAGAGGGAAGGGGTGCCACTGCAGCTGTACTCCCCCACTCCCAGGAAGCACCTCTAGCCCCTGGACCCCCACTGGCCCCTGGCCCCCTTAAGATTCCATCTGATTCTTAGCCTCTGACCCTAGTGGCTCCTTCCTTTGCTCCCCTAAACTTATTTGTTTCCCTGATAGATTCTCAAGTAGGGGTGATGTTCTGGGCCTGACCCCAAACAACTCCACCTTATGAAGGTACAACCTCTGCCTTCCCTGTTTCTGCCCCTTCTCAAATATTGTCTTGTTCCATCTGGGGCAGAATCTTTGATTCCCTCCTCCCTCCCCCTGGGAAAAAAAAAAAAAAAAAAGCACCAACTCCCCAGGGAGGGGCAGCAGACAGTGGGGTGGGAGGTACTGGAAAGAGAGTAAGAAGGACCCTGGAGGGACAAGGCTCTCAAATCCCTGGGAGGGCAGGGGTTTACAGAGAGGAGAGGGGGTGAGGGCAGTGGCCACTCCTGTCCTCTGCCACCCCTGCCCACTGTCCAGGGGACTTCAACACAACCGAGGAGGGGGCAAGTGTGTGTGGGGTCAGGTCTGATAGGGAAAAGAGAGGAACAGGAGAAACAAATCGTTAAAACCTAGTGAATTTTCCTAAGAAAACATGTCTTCTTCCTCCTCTCCTTTTGGAGGTTCCTTGGTTGGTGGGGGAAGTAGCGAGGAGTTGGTGGGAAGAGGAGAGGGTACCAAGGGACTTCCCTCCACTCTCCCTGCTCCCCCACCAACGTGGGGCTCACCAGGGCTGGGAGGGAAGTGGCTGAGAGCTCACAGGCACCCCCTCAGCCCCTGAGAGGGAGCCCACAGCTGTAGGAGGGGCCGCCACCGCTGCCGCCGCCGCCGCTGCTGCTGCCGCCGCCGCCGCCATGGGACAAACCTCACCAGTACCTGCCGTGAGAAGCACCAGGCTGTCAGTGTAATCCTCACCAGCAAGGGCCTTGCTGTCTGCCCTAGACACCTTCCCAGCCTCCCTCCCCCGGGACACAGCCGTTGCTCACTTCCTGTTCCGTCCCCAGAGGCTGCGGCTTGCATCCTCACCCAGACAGAGCAGTTCTCTGGAGGTCTTCCCTGTCCCAGAAGGATCCCTAAGCTGGGTGCTGGATGGGCATCCCTGTCCTCCCTGCAGTCCCCTACCGGGCCCTCTGAGCCCCCTGGTCCCACACACCCCATCCCGCCACGTCCCACGCCTTGCCTGGTGGGTGCAGGGGTCCCCCTCAGCAGGCGGGCTGTGGCTGGGGGGCGTCTCCCGGGACAGGGGGGGCGTTCCCCCCCAGGTGGGTCTGCATGTGGCCGGCCAGCTGGGCAGGGGTCTTGCAGTGCACGCTGCACAGCTTGCACAGGATGCGGTCAGCCCGCGGGGCCTGGAGCCCATGGTCCTTCACCGCGTGGATGCGCAGGTATGCTGCTGTGGTGAAGCCTAGGGGGGGGGATCGGGGTCAGCCAGGCGGAGACCCCAGAGACGGGGCTGTTCTCCTAGGCTGGGGACACCCTCCTCACATGGCCCTGTTCTCCTCCCACCACATACTTGGTAGCCTGGGGCCAACTGTTCTGCTGGGGCTAATGGGGCACGACCCCTCCCTGAGCTTGGGTCCTGGTTCTGGCTTCTCAGCCTCAGTACCCACAGACCCCATCCTCTGTGGCTGAGAGCTCTCCTGGTGTGACAGGACTCTGATACCTAGCCACTTGAGGGGCTGACCCTCAGCAAAGACGGCTGTGTCCCCTCCCTCCAGTGTCCCGCATATTCTTGGCCCAGTTATTCAGTGAACAGGTAAGTCTGTTTAAAAGCACCTTTACTCTGCTACCGGGGCAGAGTTAAACCCCCGCCGACGCACTTCATTTGTCCCAGAGGCTGGAGACAAGACCCTGTGGCTGTGCTGTTGAAATCTTGTCTTTCAACCCCTGGGAAAATGGCTCTCTTCCCCACTTCCTCCCAGAGCAGCTGTGTCCCACTCCCATCCCAGCCCACCTCCACCCCAGGAGACGGAATCTTTCTGGTAGACCATCTCCTCCCAGAACTGTATGATGCTCGTTCAGCGCGATGCTGCTTTGTTTGTTTCCTAAAGGGCTCTAGCTGATGCCATGAGCTCTTGGCCACAGCACCCTGACCCCCATCTGTGGAAAGCCGCTGCTCTGTCCCACCCTTTGTCCCTGGCCCTCCTGGCACCCCTCACACGCACCTTTGTTGCAGAGCTCACAGACATGGTGAGGGCCCTGGCTGTGCACCTTCATGTGGTCCGAAATATAAGCCGAGCTCAGCATCTTGCCACACACATGACATGGCACCTTCTCCTCGTGTCGTACTGTGTGTGCCCGGAGTCGATCCTTCGTAGCAAAAGCTGCCTCACATTTCTGGGGAGGGGGGAGGGGTGTGGGGGGGATGTCACAGGAGAGTTAAAGCTTGGGGGAGGGGGGAAAAGGGGGCAAGAGGTTAAAGGAATCAGAGCCTTGGGGATCTTTGATCTGTAGGAAATGGAAGTGAGATGAAGAGGCCTTGAAAAAGGGATGAGAAAATGGAGTGAAAAGGCAAAAAGAAGAGAGAGAAAAAGGGGGTCTGAGAGGCTGAACTCAGACAACTACAATGAGGATCAAAATTATGAGAACCAGGACAGCAGGAGGTGGGCTTCCTACCTCACATTTGAATGGCCGTTCTGTCGAGTGCACTTGTCTGACGTGACTGTTGAGGTGATCCGGCCTGGGGATATGCGGGGTTGGGGTTAGGGCTGGGGCCATGGGGTAAGCCAGTGCCCCAGACCTTCCAACTCAGTACATCAGTCTCTTCCAAAGGTCCCTGCGTTTTCTGCAGAAGCCCAGAGCTTTGGGAGTCCTAGTTCAACAGTAAACCCCTCCTCTTGAGCGGGCTTCCTCCTCCTCCTCCTCCTCCCACTGGAAGTCTTCCTTCAACCCAAAGACCCACCTCCTTTGCTAAGTACCACCCCCTGCTCCCTGGTAACCAGGGGAGGCCTTCCTCCCTCCTCCCTGGGAGTGGCTCCTGGTCCCCATCCTCAGGAGAGTCTCCTCCCTCCCTACCAGCCAAGGCCAGGCCACCTCCGATGCCCGTCCCTCCCTCCCGGCCTAGTGGGCGGCTGCAGCCCCGTGCACACCGGGAGAAGCTCTTGCCACAGTGGGAGCAGTTGTAGGGCTTGTGCACAGCGCCGTCATGTGAGCGCACGTGGTAGCTCATGCGGTCCTTGCGCTTGAAGCGCTGCTGGCACACCGGGCACTGGTAGGGCTTCTCGTCCGAGTGCGACAGCTTGTGTCGGTTCAGGTGGTAGACGTCGCGGAAGGCCTTGCCACACATCTCGCAGGCGTGGTTCTTCCGGATGCGCTTTCCCGAGGCGGTGGTGGTCACCACGCCGCCTGCGGCCACCGTGGCCGCTCCTCCGCCGGCGCCCGCCTCGCCCCCTCCCCCGCCGGCTCCGCTCAGCTGGGGCACGCTCAGGAGGCTCAGGGGCACCATGGTGGGCATCTTCATAGCGCCCGCGGGGACCCGGCCGGCCTTGGCTCCCGTGTGGATGGCCTCGTGCCTCCGGAGATTGTAGCCGTTCTTGAACTCCTTGGCGCACAGGGCGCAGATATAGGGCCCCTTGCTCTTTGTCTTCTTCTCCAGGGCAGACACGACGGGGGCCACGGCGACCGTCGAGGTCGGGGCTACGACAGCGGTGGCCGCGGCGGCGGCGGCGGTGGCAGAGGCGGGGGGCGCGGCCTCGGCAGCAGGCGCCG